ATCTGCCTGCCACGGCGGCCTGAGTGCTTCCCACTGGCTCTGGGTGCCACGAATCGAAAAGCTGCAGTCGTCCATTAAGGGAGGATGTGTGCGTTGCCTCGGCCAGGATTTCTCCTTTGTGTATTTAATGTACTGATGGATCATGTGCCTGCTTGGTTTTTTTGTTTTTTTTTTTTTAATTTCTGTTCTGGTTTTGACAGGAAAGAGCAAGAGCTCGATTCGAAAGATGCTATCATACTGCATCAGTTTTCAAGGCCTAACAATGGTGTTCCAAGCTTATCTCCGTTCTGTCTGAAAATGGAAACTTACTTGAGGATGGCTGATTTACCCTACCAGGTACATTGTGCAGTTTTCCTTTACGTTGCAGCTCGCTGTAATTGCATGAAATGGCAAATAGGCATTCTGTCTCTCCTCCCCCCCAATCTGTCTCACCCAGGGAGATGTAAACATACACCTACAAACTAGGTGGGTACACCGACACTTTTATGTCTCCGGTTAAATTTGGTGTATAACCTTTAAAGATATGACTTGAATAACATTGGTCTGGAACAGCTCTAGATTTAACTGGCAAAGCTAAATGAATGTTGGAAGCTAACTTGGCTGGAAATGCTGAAGTGGGAGAGTAGTCTGGAGTTTATATAATGCTAAATAACCCCCCAAAACTAAAGTGTAACATTATTTGGTCTTTGAATTTCACCATGCTAAAAAGATCAAGATTAGGCAGCTGCAGCTTCTTATTTTCCTGGAGTGTTTCTTTCTGGAGCTCACCTGGGAAGACGTGCTTGCCTTTTGCTTCCCCTCCAGTGAAGGAAGACAGAATTGCTTTCAGAGGTCGTGGATACTGCTCCTTAATTGTGGTTGGGTGCATCCTGTGCCATCTTCCCACAGCAGACGAAACCCGGGCTACTCCAGTGAATGAAAGGCAGGAGAGCAGAAATTTGAATCTAGCAGTCTCGCTTGTTAGCGTCAAGGTTTCGTTGTGACGCCGTGAGTCTGGCGCGCGCCTCGTTGCGGTGTCGGCAAGCTGTACAGCATGCAAGCTCTTTGAAACAGGGATGGGTTTCTTTTCTGTCTCTGTAAAGCATTGGGTGCATTTAAGATGATACAACAGTGGTGATAAATGTAACGAGGATGTTGGGTAGGAGAAATGTCTCTGGGTTTTTTTTATCTTTTTTTTTCCCCAAGTGATATAAATTTGGCATCTCACTTTGTCTCAAAGAGGCAGAGCTGTGGGTAAGTTGCACGCTCACCCCACGTGGGTTCAAGTCACTTTTTTCTGCTGCATACCAAGGTGTTAGGAAGAATGTTTCGTTTATGTCCAGTGTTTTACAGAGGAAAAACAACCATATTAAACTTTATTTTTTTTTACACATTTGTGGTTGATATTCATTCAGCATTGTATGTGATTAAACTCTTTTACATCAGAAGTGAAAGAAAACCTCATTAAACTCAGGCTTTTAAAGACTTAAGCAAAATATACTAATGTTCATTATCTTGAGATTTAATGGTATTTGAATCAGATACTTCAGAGCATTAAAGAGGGAGATTTCCATCCTGTGGGATGTATTTTCCTCACTTAGGTTTACAGAACCTGCAAGATACTGAAGTTTGAACATGTGGCTGGAGCAGGAGGACTTAGTGCACATTGCTTTTCCACCCAGAGTAATTTGGGTAGAAATTGCACATTTGAAGGGAGAACTATTTTGATGAGATCAGTTTTCTTTCTAATGGCAGTTGATGCAGTTCAGAGGTTTGCGAGGATCAAAGTTGCTCTGGTGGAGAGTAGTTAAAGAAAGCTGCAGTGTAAAAGATGGTTGTCCCAGGATATGGTCACTTCTAAAAGATAACACTGCGCGTCTGTGTGGTTCAGGATGGAGTCGTTTAGACAGCTCATGCTGGGTAGAAGTGAGTCACCCAGCTTTTTAGAGAGAGAGGGATTTACAGAGGGTTATCGTCCCCTCTTTATTTTCTGTATTTTCTGTACTGAAGGTCAGCATTGCTTTTTGGTATTGCATCTCTCTCTATCCCTACTCGCTAGCTGTGAGCATGCTAAGCTGACGTAGGTCAGCAGGACCACCAAAAGCAATACTCCTACCTTCAGCGGCTCCCTCTTGTCCCTTCCTGCTCGTGGTTTTCTGTGCCAGCTCAGGCTGGGCCAGAGCTGGCCTAGCTGGAGCCATGAAGGTTTAGTTTATTTGGTTTTAACCCAGCTCGGTTCCCCATGTGCTCCATGTGCCACGCTTCAGGAGCA